ATAATAGATAACTAAAATTTGATTTTATATCTAAAACTTAAATCTACATACTATTTAAAAACTATACTCAACTTAGTTAAATAATTAACAATAAAGAATGGTTAAAACCCTTTTTTGGTCCCTGAACTATTATACGGACCCCCAATTTGGTCCTTAAACTAAAAAAATCTCTGATTTGGTCATTACTGTTTACCATCTTTACCTCGATTTGGTCCTTCCGTTAAAAATTGTGTGACGTGGCCTGTTACTTAACGGTTACTAGATGACATGTCATATAGTAATCTACGTGGAAGATAATATAACCAAAAAGTGATGATGTGGAAAAAAAATAATATAAAAAATAAAACTTAAATTTTTTTTCTTTTTTCTTTCTCCTTCCCCTTTTCCTTTCTCTTTCTCCTTCCCCTTTCTCTTCTCTTTCCCCTTGAAACCCAACAGGCCTGGGTTCCTTCGAATCCACCCAGGCGCTGGGTTCGCGTCTGGGATCGCACCGAACCCAGCATGCCTGGGTTTGGTGGAACCCAACACGCTTGGGTTCCTTGTGAACCCAACACGCTTGGGTTCCTTGTGAACCCAACGCCTGGGTTCACAAGGAACCCAAGAGGGATGGGTTCATGTCTGGGTTCGCATCGAACCCAGCATGCTTGAGTTTGGTGGAACCTAGCATGCTTGGGTTCGCAAGGAACCCAAGTGTGCTGGGTTCGCGTCTGGGTTCCTACAAACCCAGCACGCTTGGGTTCCTTGCTAACCCAGGTGCAAAAAATTTTAAAATTTTTTTTTTTTTTTGTTTTTTGGATTTTATTGTTTGATTGTGATGAAAAATTGATAGATGAAGATGAAGAAGGCAAGGCAAAGCAGTTGTTGGGTTACTGCAGGTGTTGGGTTCGATTTTTCAATTTCGAATGCTAGGTTTTTGCAGGTGCTGGGTTCGTTTGCAGGTGCTGGGTTCGATTTCGAACCCAACAGGCGATGGGTTTGAGTAGCCGCTGAGTTCCTGCAAGTGAAGCTCTAGGTTTCGTTTCGAACCCAGCAGCCGTTGGGTCAAATATCTATTGAGTTTAATCTGTTGATTTGTTGTGTTATCCTCAAATTTAATATTAGGAGTTAGGGTTTGCAGAAGGTTAAAGGAAAGGGAGAGGAAGAAGAAAGGGAAAAAGGAAAAACAAACGAAGAAAAAAAAAAGGAATAACAAATTTTTTAAGATTTTTTTCTTGCCACCTCATTTTTTTTGTCACATTGTACATCCTAGGTGTCAAAATATTTTTACATGGCATCGTTTTCCCCATCCAGTAATGGGACACGTAGGTTGATATTTGACGGAAGGACCAAATCAGGGTAAAAATGGTAAATAGTAGGGACCAAATCATGAATTTTTTTAGTTCATGGACCAAATTGGAGGTCCGTACAATAGTTTAGGGACTAAAAAGGGGTTTTAACCTAAAAAAATGCACCCACCAAGACTTAATTAAGTAGTTGAATGGTAATCCTCTTCTATTGAATTATCATTGAAAATAAAAAGTCATGAGTTCAAGTCGCATGATATGTAGATGGGGTGAGGTAAGAGATTGAAGAGAGTTGCCTCTTGTTATGCTATTATAATAAAAGAAAAGTATTCAAAAAATAAAAAATGAAAATAAATTAAATATCAAAATGAAAGTTCTTCAAAAAAGATCTCTAGATTTTTGGACTTATAATCCCTCTAATCCTCTATTTTGGTTTGTTAGAAAGGGATAATAGCTGATGGTATTGTATTTATTTTAACATCTTGATATCCATGTTTTTGGCTTATAATTTTTATCATATTAAATTTGGAGTTTGAAAATTAAAAAGTTATCTATACAATAAACAAAAATTATGATTTGAAAATCACTAATATAAAGTAAAAGGAAAGTTAAAAAGAATTAAAATTTGAAATTATATGTACTCATCGTTGTCTAAGAGTGTAAGGAAGGAAAATGTTGTTGGTTGTATGTGTGATATGTGTTTAATTTAAGGTTTATTATTTATAGATTGCGTGTACAATTTTTTTATTTTATTATTTTTATTTTTCAAAATTATTATTATATAAATATTAAGTATAATAAATATATATAAAATTTCAATTATATAAGTAGATATAACAGATCAATTAAATAAGATGATTAAACATATTGGGTAAATAGTTTTGAATCATTATATGTTATTTGAATTGATACTTGTGAATATATTATTTTCATACCTATTACTTATTCAATTTTTTTACAATTTGAATAAGATACTTACCTAAACAAATAAAGTAATTATAAGTAATAGGTATACCTATACCCAACATTCACCCCTATTTTTCAGGCATGTATGTATAAAATTGAGTTTATTGTTTATTTGTCTTAACTTTAAAAATTAAGAAAAAAATATTTTAAAATTATATTATTTTAATAAAATATTATAAAAAGTACTAAAAACATTTTAATTTGTGTTTTAAAAAATAAAGTATTTTAGTTTTTTTAATAGTAATTTATTACAATGATATAATTTTAAAATAATTTTTTCAATTTTTAAAAAATAAAATAAATAGATACTATTTTTATATATAAAAACAAATAAGCATCAAATATATAAATATAAACCTTTACACTTATCACTTCACTCAATACTAAATAAATATTTATTTTTCATACTTATTATCATTTAACTATTTCTTCTCAAGTTTAAATAAATATCTACTCAAATAGCTAAAGAAATCAAGCACCCACAAATATAAAATATTCTCATACCTAATGCTCAGCACTAAAGAAACTCAGCATTAAAGAAACTCAGCATTAAAATCCGTTTGATGAGGGAATTCATTGGGCTTAATCCATTCTTTATTTTTGAATTTTAAGATCTGATCTAGCCCATTATTGATGGGCTGAACATCGACCCAACTACAAATACTTTTCGTTGCGCCTCTTTCCTCGTGGCAGTTGGCACTCGCTTTTTGTTTTGCAAGTGCAGTTTTGGAAGCATGGGAAGCAGTTGCTTCTGATACTGTACGCAGCCCAAATCGGAAACGCATTGGACGCATCGGAGCGCATCAGCCGTGAAGCTGAGCGTAGTGGCTGCCGCTGCCCCCGTCGCGGTTCTTTCCGTTGGTGAATAAGATGTTATGAGCCTCTCACTTCTACTCAGTCCATTATTTTCTGTTTGGTTGTTGAGAAAAAGAAAGAAATTCCCGGGCAGTTGCAATAACTATTATTCAGGTCGTTACTTTTCAATGCTCCTTCAGGGCATTAATCAGTGTACTGCTTTTTTACTGTTGCCCACAGGCCAGGGGATGCTCCAGATTCTTTGCCAGCTTCAGTATTTTAGCATGAATCATATCAATTTATATGTTTGTCTTTGTTGCGACTTTAATTCTTGAGATATATATTTGCATTTTAGATAAAATTTTATGAAGGTTGCCATTTTTTGAGTTAAAGCAACATCAAATTGAGGACTTTGATTCTTATTTATACTGTCTGTGATTTAGTTAAGTCATATTTAATTATCATTGAGGCAAAAGATTTAACTTTGTTACGTTAAATTATATTCCATTTGGTCCAACTAAAGATGGGATCTTGTGCTTTTTCTTCTTAATGAAGTCATTTTTCGGAGTGCGATCTGCCATCATCTAAGCATGGTATGAAGATGCATAAACACATTCTACAAATGATTTATTCAACTAAAAAAAATTAAGAAATCTGAGTTACAAGAAACTGGCTAAACTATACAACAATATAGATCTAGACAGTAATGTAAGAAACTTCTCTCAGATTCTATGCTCTCTTTTAGTCCTCACTGATACCCTCTTTCTCTCTATATTTGGATGCAGTGAATTCGGTTTAACTGCAAAATTTGAGCTCTTTGCGCCTCTAAGTTTTCCCGTGCCAATTGGATCTTGCTTCAGAGATTGAGGTGGAAGCTTCCATACATCCTCATGTTCTATACCCTGCTGTTTAATATGTTGATCTCTGTGTCTGGTTATGCTCATTTCTCTTCCCTCTGTGTTAACTTGTTCAACAAACAAAAGCTCCTTCTTATCTCTTGAAATGTCTCCTTCAGAATCCAAGCTTGAAGCAGAAGAAGGTATACTTACTCTCACTGCTTTCTTCTTGCTCTCTTCCATTGCATTTTGAGTTTCCGTTTTGTCATCACTTTCAGATTTCAAGCTGTAGTTTTCTATAGGATGTATCTTCTCAAATTGCGGTGTGTTGTTTGAGTACTTTGTCCCCTTCCATGCAGCTGCGTCCTCCTGAATATCAAATTCAGGTGGTGAAGATCCATCAGAGTCGTACACAATTCCTTTTTGCTGACTAGAACCACTCTGATCATCATAATCGTTGTCTCGTGATTCACTTCTCGAGAGTTCAACAGCTGCTCTTGCAGCTGCAGCAGCATAAGCTGCGGATTCAAAAGCCTCTTGAGCAGCTGCAGTTACATCACTGTACTTGTTCATTGATTTCATTGTCCTGGAGAACTGTTCATTCAGGTTTATATCTTCAGGCAAATTCTTGACATCTCTGGGCATGGCATCGTCAAATTTGGTTGATTCCTTAGTCTCCAATTCTTCCTTCTCCTCATTTACATCCAATTTCTCCTGAAATTTAAACTGTCCTGTTATGTAAAATAAAATAGTGTTAATCTTTTTCATTGGTTTGCAGTTTCTTACCTCAACAATCACTGGATGATCTTCCTCCAAGTTCAGAGTGATTCCATTCTCAGAAGCAATCTCCTTCAGCACCCTCACTTTGCTCTCCAAGCTTGGTTTCTCTGTTGAGAGTTTCCGTATCATCTACAGAGAATCCAGAGATAGAGAGAGAGCTACTGTAAGCATAAACTTCCCAAGAAATTCTGAGATTGAAGCATCAATAATTTCCTTTCCTTTCGTACCTTTGGATTCACGCTGCAGTTGTTGCGTAATTCAACAGCACGGGCAGTGAAATCTCTCCCAAATTTTGATGACAAAATCTCACGAATGTGCAGAAGCTCTGGGAACTCTCCACATCTTGAGGATACAAAGATCAAGCTTGATGCTGCCTCCTTCAGTTCATCAGGGCATTCCCTATCGCAAAAACAATACAGAATCAACAAAAACTCACCAAAGATTAGGTTCATCGTGTAAGTTAATAGTCATTTTCTTGCTTACTTGCTCTTTGGAATGAGGTCGACTCTCTCTATCAACAGATGGCAGTAATTTTCTAGCATGACAAAAACATCCAACATGTTCTGTTCTCTGATAACATGCTCTACCTGTTTCAGAAAGTTCCATCAAAATTCAAACACATATAGTGATATAGCCTACAATCAGAAAAATGAAAGCTGACAGAGATAGGAGGTGACACAGGCTAGAGATTTACGCGAAGAAGAGCTCGGTCCTGGTGACCTAGGTTGAGGAGCTCCAGTACATCAGATCTGGAATGGGAATACTGAACACGGTGCTGATTCTTGAGGATGGAAATCCTGGAGATAGCAAGTTTAGCAAGGGTTTTGAACTTGGAGGTCCTGAAGTTTCTTCTCAGCAGAGCATTCAGCATCCCACCCATTTTTCTGCTTTCTGCTGCCTCTAGAACCTCGAGGAACTTGTGAAACAGAAAAGTAGTTATATAAACAGAAATCTTGGACTGTTTTGGAATGAAATTTAGTCAAGGTAGGTGCGGTTTTGGTGTTGCTAATAATTTGTTATGGCTGGCTAGCATATTAAAGGTGCTTCTTGTGAAAGCGAAAGCCGAGATTTCTCTGTTTTGATTGAGCGCCAGAGTTTGGTCTACCCTCTTGCGGCTTCTTTTGCGTGGAAGAAGTCCAGGCCAGCGACCTCCACCAAATCACCCAATTTTTCTAATTTGATTTTCTTGGTTTCAACCTGTAAGGTTGGAAATTTTCAGCCTAGAGGTAGAGAGTACCACACGGAATTTTCTTGGGAACCGCGTCTGTGCCGTCGCCGGTCTAGACCGTAGAAATGGTATGATCTGAAGGTCTTAGGTTTACATGGTCCATTGACGACATCTATAGTAAGGAAGCTTTCAAGTTCGATAACTGAGTTTTCTTGGAGTACATTTCATGAGAAAAATCTTAACAAGTTTCTTTGTAGTTTGAAAATTTTGCGAAAACAACATTGACAGGACCTACCACGTAGTGAACAATTTGTGTCGCTACCGACCGGTCCGGATTGTAGAAATGGGAGGATATGGAGACCGTAACGGTTAATTACAGTCTTTTTCTGTACTCTCTGCCATGGATATCAACCTTGAGAATGTGTAGACTTGTGGTATGACCATGAGAAGGTAACTTTTTTTTTTTTCTCACAATAATGCTGCAAAATTGACATCAAATGTACTCACGGCAACAGCAATTAGTTAAATTTATTATCTATATTATTTTGTGACCCTTTATGATAACTATAACATTTTCATTAAGATAATGATTTTGAATTATTTAAATTTTAAAATTAAAAGAAATTAATTTTAGATATGTGAGTGGACTGAGTAAAAAGATGGGAAAGGATTGTCCACCTAAAATAAAAAATAAAAATTAATTGTAAGGTTTTGAAGGTTGGGGACTAAAACGAAATCAACTTGAAAATTGGGGGTCTCAGGGTACAAAGGTATATCAAACCCTATCTCGGCCGTCCATTTTCCTTGCTCACATCAAACACGTCACAAGGCCATTCTGGTAACTCTGATTCGCGCATATCCATCTCCCGCTTAAGACACCCAAATGTCTCTAACTTTTGGCGCCAGTTCCGCCTATGTTTTCAATTTTCCCGCCCGATATATTTTCCCCTCTATACATACCAGAGAGAGGAACACAGTAAACCAGTTCAGATGGCTTCGGGTGCCGGAGATTGGTCATCGTCGCCAATTGACGATTACGAGACGTTGATTTCGACGACGGATGTGGAGCTCTTGAAACGAGCATGGCGGAACGAAAAGGCGTCTCCCGAGATCCTCCCTTTCCAGGATGCTTTGGTGAAGAGAGCCAAAGAGCAGATCCAGTTGATGGTACTTCGCAAACTCAAACCCTAGCCTTCTGTTTTTTTTCCTAGAAAATCCATGGAGTATCGTTTAATTTTATCCATTAGCCTTATTTAATTCGTTACATTCTTGTTTGATTATGACTGGAGTGTCTATTAGATTTAGATCATTGTCTGGTAAATACTATGTATTTGAATCCAATTTTGTGCAATTTACAGGAAGAAACGGTAGATGAATTTGAAGAAAGTGGCCATGATCCCCTTATAGTCTCACTCTACCAGATGGACTTGGATAGGGCTCAGTTCTTATTGAGATCGTATCTTCGAGTTCGCCTTCAGAAGGTGTCCTTTTTATCTCTTTATTTTGATTTGAGTGGATATAGCTATCATTTTAGTATATAATGTTGTTAGGAATCTAAAAAATTTCTCATATATTTGAATTTGGCCAAGAAGTATTGGTGTAAGGCATGACTTGCTGTATGGATTAACATTGTTTTTGTCATTTGTTTATTACTTTGTAATGTTGTGATGCAGATTGAGAAATTCATGTTCTGTATATGGAAAAATGATACATACCGTGACCGGCTTTCTGAGGAAGAGAAATCATTCATTGAAAGGTGATGGTTTTGTTCCTCTTAATCATGGAAAAACTTGTTTGAGGTTTTTGTTTAATATCCCCACTAAAAAGGGGGAAAAGCTTCTCTCTTTCTTCTAAAACTAAAAGTTGATTGTATAACTGCAGCTGCATTCGTGTTATTGAAAAACACCTTGACGAGACAGTCCTATCAAAATTGCCAGAAAATTATCGAGACATATTAAAGCAGTCAGCAATAAGTGAAGAAGATGATATGGGTAATTCTTATACTCTCATCTCATTTCTATGTTAATGCAATGCTTTATTTTGGTTTTGATGCAAGCATGTAGATTTTTGTGAACATTAAGGTCAAGTATAGTTCTTCAATACTATCATCATTTGATAAGAAATTTGTTAGATAACAATTTTCTAAAGGTAATGCTTCTAAAGGTAATTGCTAATCACATGTGCTTATGCACAAAAGATGTGATGGAAATCAAGAGTAGTACTTGAAGTGGTGGGTCTGGTGATCTTTAGAGGGTTCTAGTTATATGGCAGGATAAAATATGATGATACATGTGCGGAAGTAGGCTCGATTTTCCTTCTATGTTTCCTTGACTTTTTATTTGTTGATTCCCAATCATGCAGTGATTTTCTGAATATATTTTCTGTATTTCTCTTGTTTGATGTAGTATTTTGAGCATATGCTTAAGCAACTAGGACAAGCTCTAGCTGATTTTATACCATGCTAAGGTATTGTTCTTAGTAATTGGGTTTTGGTTGTGTGTTTCAGTTCCAGAGCCACAATTAGATACGTTTGTTGTTGCTAATTGCAAGAGAGCTACTAGACCTCTGTATCTTGACAGCAACAGGCAATCAGCTGTCTTTGACAACAGGTAGTCTACTATTCTTGCATGATTTTATCTTCTTCTGTGGTTTTGAATACTCCGTTTGGTTACTCACCAATTTTTATCTCCCATTTGGCAGGGATGATTACTTCCAGATGGTACCTGGTGACCTATGCATTATACGTTATAAGCCATTTCGAGAGGAACTGATAAATGGAAATATTGATTTGGTTTGATTGTTTAGCATCTAAATGTAATGTAGACATAGCAATCGCCCTCTCCTGTTTTTTCCTTATGCCTGAAATTTCAATGTTCTGATGCGTACAGTACATCTATGATCTATAGGCCATCTTTGGTCCATACTGTAGAAATTTCCCGTGTTAAAAATTCAGTTGAGTTTGATAGGTTGACATTGAACATAATAAGGCCCCAGACAATAACTACTTGAATGTCTTGCTTTGACACTTGCTCTCTGCATTCTTCTCAAGTTGTTGCGTTTGGTGTTCACATCATGGGGTGTTGTTTGACAAGTTTTGAGCCAACATCCAATAGAAATTTGCATAGATTCTAACCACATGAAATTTTAAGAATCAGGGACCTCGGATATTTCTATTCGATGTTGCATGGCATTAAGGAGAGCTATCCGTTGCTTTTGCCTTACAAAACAAAAAGTTGATCATGTTATGCGTGCTTTCTGAGAAGTTGCTTAAAAAGAGCAAACATCATTTCTAGTCATGTGTAACATCAAACATCAGCTGATCAACCAAAGTCCCTGTCTCTCATGAAACTTCAAAGAATCTTCTATTTCAGTCTGTATTCTCCCAGGCAAAGAGAAGAACCAAGCCAAGGACATAATAATATGGTAAGGAGAAAGACACTACATGGGGCACAATCTATCATCTGTGTTCTTTTTCCCATTGTTGGTCCAACCATATACATGGAGACGGCGCTTCCCTTGATAATCTATAGCCACCCATTACACTTGATGCTTTCAAAACTAGAAATGGTTGCTAAAAATTGCAGATACTGTGTATATCTCTAGCATCCATCTTTATTGGGATACAAAAGTAGGGATCTGATCTACTAATTGCTTGGAGGGGAAACACAACAAATTCTTAAAATAGTATCTGCTAATTTGGCTAACAGAAAGGTAAATAGTTTACCATTTGGAGCAAAAGATCATTTTAGAGCAACAAGTAAACTAATACCATTGTTGACTTGTATACTTCAGATTAAATACACCAAAAGAAAACATAAGGAAAACCATATTCTCGAACATACTTTTCTATACATCATGAATAATGTTTTGGGGATCATTTTTGAAACATCCATGTAGGAACAAAGCAACCTCAAATATATGTGGTCTTAAGGGGAAAAAAACTGCGGTATAACCGCTATAGAGTGCCGAAGGCGAGTACCCCTAGCACCACCACTGAATTATGTATCCCCAAAGGGACGAAGAAGCCTTGCTACCCCTAGTACATAAAGAACTTGAACTTTAAGTAATCAGACGATGTGGGACTAGATTCCATTTCAACTATATGACGTCATCCTAGTTGAAAACACACAGCCTATCTCTCTTCACGTGTCAAAATGACAGACATTTTGGGTCCTTTTATAATGGGTTACCATGGCCTAAAAGGACTAAAATCAATTTTAACTCCTCACTTTACAAAATTAATAGGTTTTAACAGATAATTTTATAATATCACATTTTTAACATTTTATTTTATAAAGTTAGTAGGTTTTAACCCATCACCTTACAAATTGATAGGTTTTAACTCTTCATCTTATACTATGACACTTTTAGTCCCTTATCTATACGAATCGAAAAAAATAGCTCTCACTTAACATTAAGTTATAATGTTCTGCTAGTTCTATTAGTTGACTGTTAGTATCTGCTAACATTCCATTAATGAAACTAACAAATAAAATTGAATTTGAATTTTATGTTTTTTATAATGAAATGCTAATGGATGTTAATAGTTAGCTCACAGAATTAACAGAATGTTATAACTTGATATTAGGTGAGGGTTATTTTCTTTAATTCGTATAGGTGAGGAGCTAAAAATATCATAATATAAAGTGAGAGGTTAAAACCTATCAATTTTGTAAGATAAGGGGTTAAAACTTATCAAATTCGTAAGATAAAGGATTAAAAATACTATATTATAAAGTGAAGTGCTAACATCTACTAATTTTATAAGGTAAAAAGTTAAATGTTGGTTTTTGCCGACCCAAAAAAGTGAAGTCTGCTGCTGAAATTAGAGAATCAGTCCATCAGAAATTGTAGTTCCGTATTTATTGTTTAGCAAAGCTTAATTAACTTACTTTTAAAAAGAAAATTTTTCTTCCCCAAATTTAAGTGTTAATGAGAAATTTAAAATTAATTTAAAAGTGACTTTAAAATAAGTTTTTAAAAAATTATAATATATCGAGTGTTAAATATTTAAATGTTGTTCAAATTAACAATGATAGTGATGTCTCATACAGTTATACTTCGACATTAAAATTACGTAAACTTATAAATATTTACTTTTAATAAAAAATATTAAGTTCAACCACATAGTTAACATACAATAATCTCAGCTCCATTCATAAAAAAAAAAACAATAATCTCAGCTCCAGCTCCAGGCAGTTGAAAACAAATTTCAGATACGGGGATATCTCAAATTTTAAACTAGAAAGACAACAAATTCTTAAACAATTTTTTGAAAAATTGACTAACAGGGAGGTAAGTAGTCTTCCACTTGGAACACAAGACCATTTTAGGGCAACAACCAATGCCAGTGGGAAAAAAAAAATTTGCACCATTTCTCGATTTGTGCGTGTCATCCTTGCGCAGGGGCCATGCTAATCTTCTCTGTATCGTTCCAATTTTATCGGATGTCCCCGAAGGGACACTCCTTGCTTGCTACCCCTAGTATATAAAGAGCTTTAGCTTTCGCAACCAAACGATGTGGGATTAGGTTCCATTTCAACTATATGACGTCATCCTAGTTGAACATGGAGAGACTATCTCTCTTCATGTGTCAAAATGATGGACATTTTGGGTCCTTTTATAATGGGCTACTATGGCTCAAAAGAGTATAGTCTGCTGCCTGAGTTAGAGAATTAGCCCATCAGATTATTGGGCTTCTGTATTTATCGTTTAGCAAAGCTCAAGTAACTTACTTTTAAAAAGAAAATCTTTCTTCCACAAATTTAAGTATTAATGAGAATTTTAAAATTAAATTTGAAGCGACTTTTAAATAAGTTGTCAACAACTTATAATATATTAAGTGTTAAATGTTCAAATGTTGCTCAAACTAACAATGAGAGTGGTGTCTTGGACTCCCAACATTAAAGTTACATAAATTTATAAATATTATTTTTTAAAAATATTAAATTTTTTATTTTGATTGTTAAAAATAATTAATAACTAATAAAATAGTTACCATTTATTACTTAACAAATTGAAATTAGTTTATAAGCCACTACTTTTAAATATCTTAATTAATTATTTAAGAAAAAATTAAAAACTAAAATATAATTAATTTATCAAAAAAATAAAATATCAATTAAACTAAACACACTACAAAAGTATAAATTATCCCTTCAATCTGATTTAATTATCCTATTTGTTTATTTATGATTATTAAAAAATTTATTTTATTGTAATCCCAATCAAGAGAAGACTATTATCTACAAATACATAAAAGCAAAATTAAGACAATGAATACTAAAGATGGTATAAAAGGGAGACTATTAACATCTTTACTTGTCTGTTCCGAAGACTTCACATGACAGGGAGATGGGTATAGGACACCGTTAAAAGTTATAACAAACTTATGATACACATTAGAAAAGGCAAGAACCAAGAAAGAAAATAAAGAGAATGAGAGAGAGGCTACTATGATCAGTCCTCAAATTCATGCATGTGATCTAAGAGGTAGTTGGCCGCGAGCTCCTCGTTCTTGTTGCAAGCAAAGAATACCTCCAACACTAGGTTTCTATCAAAACCCATCGCCTCCAGCTGCCAAAATGAATCCAATTAAATAACTAAAACTACAAAATGAACTAATGAAGTATTAATTAAAACTAAATACATATTACATTCAAAGGGGCTGATCAAATTCAAAACTGTGCTGGAACTTTTACCAGAAATAATCTCATGATGAATTGGGATAATTTCCATCTAAAATCACTAATCCTACTAGTCAAGATGATCTCTGTCATAACTGTATAGTGCCCAACATAGCCTAAGGTCATAAGAAAATGTGACAGAAATGAGAGGAAGAATGCTATTGAATTGTTCACATCAACAATAAATGAGAGGAAAAATGATACGCCAAAAAATCTGTGGTACTTAGCTTCGAAACAAAAGGAGGCCATTCAACAACAGACAAGGTGTACTAACAATGAATAAATATCAAAGGATGACAAATGTAACTGATAAACTGAAACTTAATGCCCTTCTAGGTTTAGGTTGTCTGCTAGCTGCTGTTCAAAACATTTAGGAACATTGATAATGGTGGGAAGAATAAGAGATGATTTACAATTCTCCATTGTAATTCCATTCACAATTGTTGTGTCATGGCACAACATTTTATTGGACAAGCTTTTTATAATTTGTATATAATAACCAGACAAATGGCAATGTTATGTTAGAAGAGAAATCTTACACGTTCAATTGCCTCTAGCTCCTCAGGGGTCACAGTCACAGCTTGTGGAATAAGTGGGTTCCTACTCACACATAAATAGGAATAGGCTAATTAGCATTGTTTGCATCTAATAACCAGACGAATAAGGAGAAAAAAGTGGGGCAGACTCATCTCACCCCTCTCCTTCAACAGGTTCATTTATCAAGTGCAAAAAGTCAGCTTGATGCTCTTGAATGAGCCTCATCAAATGTGGATTTTGCTTTCCAAGCTCTTGAAGCATAGGCTGCAACATAAAAATAAAACAATAACTTGAATGCAGATAATATATTTATCCATGTAATGCATAGGCTCTTAAGTGATCATGTAATGCAGTAAGTGATTAAATGGAAGAATCTGCCTATGTAAGGCAGATAATACATTTATTTATGTAAGTACCTGCAAGATTTGAGGGTTTGCTTGCACCATAGCTCGCAATGCTTGGAACTAAAACGATTGCAAGGGAGAAAGGCTTAGAACTTAGAGAAAATCATTTCATAAAAAAATGCTGCCATTCAAAGAAGCATTTTTAAATACCTGTTGGCTGTTGCGCAGAAAATCCAAGGTGCCTGCACCATCATTTGAACCCATATTGGGAAGGCCCTGTTTTTAGGACAATGAAATTTTGAGCTCAATCACACATAAAAGTTCAATAGTTAGTGAACATAAGTTAATACCTGTGGAAAGAGATCTAGGGGGTTTGCATTAGGGCCAGTGCTGGTAGGTGCTGCAGGTTGTTGCCCTGGTGCAGGAGGGTTTGCAGCCTGCCCACTAACTGGAGCTCGGGTAACTGCTGGAACCTCAGCTTGCTCAGGAATGCCCTGAAATGTTAGTTTATTTATTTATTTATTTTTCTGTGTTATACTGACATTCTAACTGACATTTAAAACTCACTAGCAGCCAACTTAAATCCATCCAAAGTTTGAGATGATCAAGCCTGATAAATGATTTCATCTGATTGATTTCCTTCTAATGGCAATACTTGTATGGGAAACCCATAAGCATTCAGAAGCCACAAAAGCTAAGTGGTTCTAGTAATCTGGTTGAACAATAGAACAAGTATTTCAGCAGAAAGACTTACAGTGTATAGATATTCAACGGCTCTTTCAGGGTTGTTATATGCAGCACGTAGAGCACGTACAACTGTATCCCGGTCCCAACTTCCTCCACCCATGTCAAGGATCTGTTGTATTGTGGCTTCTAAATTACTTCCAGCAACAACATTTGATGCTGCTTGCCCATAGACATCTGACTGAGAACTGCAACATTAGAAGAAACCATAAGCGGGAATTTCACTTTCTCAAGTTGAGAGGAATGTACAAAATTATAGAAGGATCTCATGTTCTAAAGCGAGCTGCTGCAGATGGTCATAAGTGTCAGTGTGTCACTAGCATACATTTCAATTTCAGAACAACTTACGAAGGAGGAGCAACTGGAGTAGAAATTGGTTCAGGAATAGAAGCAGGCCTGCACATTAATATATATATATAAAAGACAGAGTGAAGAAGTAACAAGTTCAAAAGGCACATAATTAAAAATATAAGTCCAACAATATTTGAAGCAAAAATTTCTTATATATAAGAAAAAACCTACAGAAAATCAGAACTTACAGAGCCACAGTTGGGGGAGAGGCTTCAGGTGCAGTTGATTCTTGTGGTAATGTAGGGGCTGCAGGTTGAGCCTACAAATAGCAAAACCAAATGTACATAATCAATAAAATGTGAAAAAGATTATACAGACAACCAGCTAATAACAACAAAAGCAATTAAGCAGTAGAGAAATAGACAATTATTCACTTACCTGACTTGCAGGTGCAGCTGATGCACTTGATGCTCCAGTTGATGAAACCTTACTCTACAATCATTTCACCATGCATATGTCAGTAATATTTTTCTAATACACCTCGTGCCTCATCCATGCCTTTCCCCAGCTGTAAATTTTATAAGATAGGCAATGCACGTGGGATGCTCATACAACAAGACTTACCTTAGTTAACATTATAACAATGAAGCTGTTTTCAGCTACTTTGTTTTCATCCAGGGTTGTGTTATCCTTGAGAACTTTCCCTTGATGAATAAGCATCTGTTGCGCAGCAGGGTAGACATCTTGACCCTGTGCTGTTTCTATATTATTCTTGACATCAGCAACCTGTAAACGCAAAAGTACAAAGGCCATGATTAAATTACAGCACTCATGGCAAAATTTTTAAACCATTCTGCCAAGTAGAAGGCAAAATCAACTATCTATTTTTTACTATGTTCAAAATACTAGCTACGTGAATTATAAATAATTCAATATTGTTTCAGTTGACAAGTATCACTCTTCATTTTGGGATAATCCACCCAAATGGAAATGCTTCATAGTCAGCACTAGACCAAAAATAAGGCCGTTAATTTCGTCACAAACACAAATAAATGAAACTTATGGCATACAGAAGCTCTTAACTGAGGCTTAAGGTTTTGCATCCATACTACCATACTTCGTTCTAGACTACCTAAATCATTCAATCAATTCAATACGCAAAAATTAAGACTCCAAAGTCCTGACAATAGGCATGAATCAACAATTTTACACAAATTAGTGGAGAAAACTCATTCTAACATTAAACAAGCATGGGAACTACACAAATCAAGTGCAAAAAGAAAGTGATAAAGCAAAGAGCAAACAGTCCTGATCACCTCAAAAAAACCTAATCACGCAACCAATTCCAAACCTACAAGAGGTTAAAAACCCCTAATCCGACAGATGATCAACTCTCTCACTTTCGCAATAGCAGGAAAGCAATAATATGCTTTGTTAGGATAGAAAGAGAGATTAATTGCGAGATTCATTACCGTGTCTTCGGGTTTCACTTCGATCTCGAAGTGAGTTCCCTTCAAAGTCTTCACAAAAATCTTCATCTTCTCCTCCGTACGGACTCTGGTTCTCCGGGCGATACGGCGATCTCGTCAATCCTCACCGGCGAAAGTATCTCACAAGACGGAAAAAGAGACCCAAAGTCGCTGGAGTGTGGCCGTTATATATAAGGATCGGTTTTAATAAAAACGAGTTTAAGGACTACCAGTAACGTATAATACGAAGACACATGGAGAGAGCAGGGGATGGTGGCGGTTGTGTCTGGTTTTGATTGGTGTTGAGTTAGTTAAGTAGATGGGATTCGGCTACGTAATCAGCAGTACTTGGGTACAACTGGAATCGGCTACATTTCTGCGTCCTGTCTCGATGATTTTCATTGATTATTTGTCTGTGCAGATACGGTATCAGAGATTTGTTATATATATTTCCATATTTCCACCAAAAAAAAAAGATACGGTATCAGAGAAAAGATAATTGGAATGGCATATTTTTAACTACTCCCAACATCATTGAAATGTCAAACAATAATCGTACACTGGACGAAAATTTTCAGATAAAAATTTAAAAACAATAAGATAGCAAATGTGTTTTTTTTTTTTTTTTTTTTTTTTTGCCAACCGGGCTGTAGCCCAATTGGTTGCCCCAAGTTTTAGGGCTTGGTTCGAGGCGGAGGTCAGGGCTTCGAACTCTGCCACCACCGTGAACTCCACAAACTTGCGACCTAATGGTCGCGCGCCTCAAATGAGGGGGTGGAACGTTCACTTTTCTGAAAAAATTTCAGCTGCTAACAAACTAACTCTACTAATTTCCTAACCATCTACCTGGTCACAAAAAAAAAAAAAAGTGTTCTTTTTTTTACTATATTAAAATTTTTGATAGGGCAAATATTAATTTATTTGATAACATTATTTAACTTCAATTAAAAAATTTATTTATTAACATAAACATATATTATATTATTAGTTTAAAATTTTTAACTCCAATTTCCACTGCTTTTATCAATACTAAATGTGAAATGATAATATTGCTACAAGTAATTTACACTTTTTTAATTTTACAATTCTTTTTTTAAACAGTACTTGAAATTATTGATTTTACCATTCTTTTAAGAAAAATCATGGAATGAAATAATGGGTTTTATACTTTCGGACACTCTTTATTTTCAGGACACTCTTTATCAATAGTTGGTTTTGTCCCGTTTCGATGCAATTTACACCGCACAACAGTTTTGTTTATTTTCATCCCTTTCTGTCTCCTATAAATCATAATTAAGTTGCTGTGCCATCAAAACACAAGGTGCAGAGTCTAGAGAGAGTTTCAAACTAGGGTTCTTTACCAAAAGAAAGAGTAAAATTAGATCTTTAATCTGAAATACGAGAAGAAAACAAACAAAATTAGTTCAAAACTACCCGTACGCAATTACAATGACCAAGAGAAACATGGACACTTGGTAAATTTTACTCGTAGAATCAAGAGGGAATTGCCGGAGAAACCATGAATAATTTTGCATAGCGTGCAGTTTTTTGCATGTCATCATCCAGGGAAGTGCAAGTCAGCAAGTGTCCTCGGCCAATTTACTTCTCCATGTTATCATGAATCTCTTGTTCCTGCTCATGACTCTCATTCTCCGTCATCATTTTCTAACTTCATCTCCTTCATCTACAATTTTGTTACCAGAAATTTCTTCAGGATGCTGCAGATCTGATGATAGATGAGCATCGAATTCATTATCTTCTCTATCCATTTGGTGCTCCTGGTCAGCTTCATTCACTTCACCCAATACTTCAGAAACTTCATTTGGTTGAACATCTGCAAATGCTTCTAGGCTGTCCTGTCTTTCCTCATGGTCCTCAATTTCTACAGATGATTCATTCACCACATCAACATTTTGGTGAATAGACGACTCTTCATCATTATCTTTCCTATCTGAGCTTGGTACCACCTCCACATCCCCTTCTTGTGGCTTTGAGTCAAGGTTATCATCAGAGAGTTCCATGTCCCTATCCCCTGAGCCAGCACATATTACTTCTTTAGCCACCTCTAAATGCTCTGCATCAGTGATCTCCTTTGCATTGTTGAGAGGTTGGGAAGATGAGAAGTCTTGGAAGTCATCAGTACCAATTTCCAGGACAGAAATGTCCTTGTCAAGGTGAGTAACATCTTCAACTTTTGAATCAACCCCATCCGTATTTCCAGAGGCAGGAAAAGATTGGAAGGTATCCCAGTCATCATCATCATCATCATCATCTGCTTCATCCTCTTTCATGCTGTCATCATTGGATTTTAGAGGAGCTGCTGATAAAGGTAAACTTTTTTCTTCAGATTCCTCTTTTGGTTGTCTTTCTATGGCTGATGTTTGAGAATCTTTCTCTCTTCTTCCCTCAGTAGGCACCGGCAGTTTAATCTCTAATGGTGATGCCGTGGTTTTCATCTGGGGTGAACTGTGGTCTTGTGCTACAGAAGCACGAATAACATCCTGAAATAAATACAATATTACTTAAATAGGGTTTTCATCAGTGACTATCAATAAAAACATAACTTTCATTTGAGATATGGCAAACTATTGCAAACTAGGCAAACTATTGCAAACTAAGCAAACTGTAAATTTGGGGTAATTCTTGACTATTTCAATTTTAGTCTTCAGATGTTGGCACATCATGGCTCACTAATAGACTGGATTTGCTGCCACAGAACAGATCAAAGCTCTTGTTATGTTTATTTTTATTTCTTTTATTTGTAAGTAATGTAATAGACAAACACTAAAGACAAAAAGAAAGACCTGAAGTTGCTGCCTCTGGTTTACAGGCATAGACAACAAGACATCCTTAAGATGAACAGCTGAGGAAGGGATCTTAGCAATATGAGAGACAAGCCTCAGAGCAGTGCTTCTCATGTCACTGGCTTCCTGAAATCATTATCAAAATAAACCAAAGAATGTCAGAATATAAAAGTTGCAATGTTTCAACTCAAGTTTAGATTCACAACTAAAAATTACCCGAGAAGAATCTCCCTCTGTTGCTGAGAAGATAATGAGAACGCCTATTAGAAGGAGATTCATAAATCCTCTCTGATTTTCACTACCTCTTGACAGTGTTTGAAGAAGCATCAAGACTCCTAAGCACTCCCCAGCAACAGCCACTGATTCTTTAGTTATAGGTTTCTGTTTAGAACAGCGTTAAAATTTTTTAGGGAAGTGGAGAAGCAAGATATTTTAATTTTCTGAAACAGAAATGATGATGCACCTTCAACAAGTTCTGGACAATGGTGAAAATATCTCCAAGAAGCTCTCCGATAAAGAGTACTGAGAAAGTGTTATCTTCTATTGTGCTACTTCTCTGCACCACACTTTTCAGCACTTGCAATCCAATTGCTCGAACCTATACCAAACAGATTTTGCAAGCTGTCTTAAATCCTTGGGAAATAGAAGGCAAATAGACCTACACATTACATGCATAAAAAAATAACTACCTGTAAATGTGAATCATTAAGTACGGTTTTAGTATATTCAATGCAAAATTTGAACACTGAAAGAAAGAGAAGACTGCTGTCTTTGTTGTCTTCAAGATGTTGAATTCCATGGGTTAGCTTGGCCAACAAAATATTTTGTTCGAGAGAGAATGCAAGCTTCAAATGCAGTAATTTGCGTAAGTTGGATCTTTCATCATCCAGTAGATGAATGCCCTCAATGCAATCCTTAATCAAAGTAGCAATATCTTTGAGGCAGGTGCAAAAAATTGTTTTCAGGTGGAGAATGCCATCAACACCAAGTTTATGAGCATCTGCAACAAAGCTCGATCAGTCTCCAATGACTCTAAGCATGTTTTAGGAAACAATTATAATGGGAATTCATTTTAATGCTGTGTTTGAAAGATGACTGCTGGAAAATCATAGGCAACATGACTTCCAAACTCTATTGTATGCATGAGCAGTCAAATAATCAGTGATTGTTAAAGAATACTCTTTTTCTTTTCTGAAAAACAACATCCCTTTTCCTATAGAGAAAGTTGTTTTCAGTAAAAGGAATAGACAATCCTCCATCTATCTCCTAGTCTATCACTTCTCCTGTGTACGTTAATGAGTTATCTTAGCTCCATTAAGTCATTTTCTGCCAACCAAATGAGGGTAAATTCAAAAGGTGTTCACAAATAGAGATATACGAAAAATAACTAAATAAATTCAAAATATCTAACCATGCATCTTAACAAACCAAGAAACAAAAATTATTTTCACAATTGCGAAGTATTTAACTGAGAAGTGTTAACCAGAACTGCATGCCTCTTAGAAACAGGAAAAAAAAGGAAGTCCCTCACCATCCACAAGTTCCTTTAATAATGAATTGGCGTTCTTGACAAAATCAATAACTTTTGAGAGGGATAATTCTGTCGAAGCTCGTCTAATGAACTTGTAACCAACCAATAGAAATGGCAATGCTACCAACTTTAATTGCTTCTGCATTTTGATACATACAATTCGTGATAAGATGACCTTAGTGATAAAAAGAATAGTTAAAGTAACTAATACAGAAGACAAATGTTTTGATATTAACTACTCTTGGATAATCCTTAGCCTTCATCAAAGAAATTACACTTTGTACCAATAGACTCATCACTCAAAAGTTAGAGTAAATGCAAAAGGTGAAATTCATTTCCTCTCCAATTTCTGCTAAGTTTTCCTTGGATTGCTCTCCAAGTTTCATGGTGGTAGAAGTAGAATCACTTGGGAGTATTCAGGTATCGGCTAACTAAAACTCTACAATCAACTCAAGGTTTTGACGGTCAATGTGTGAGAAAATTTCCAAACAAAGAGTTAATTGTAATAAAGAGGTATACGCTGAAGGATTTTTCTAATTTAACCAAAATTTAATCAGATATCCCTATAGAAACATCAGGAGAATACATGAAGTCAGGAGCACAATCAGGAAAAGCTTAACAGATATTGGACCAAGGATACCCAACTGACCTTTGGTTCAAAAAGCTTCATTATTGTCTTCCCGGTAATAAAAAGTGGAGATATCAAATCCTCCCAGTTGGGTTGACCAGGTGAAATTGTGTCAGCACTGAAATACAAAGGAAATTGTCAGCTGAATTTATGCATGTGATGCATTTGACCAGTCTTTTCAAAAATTATTATTTTTTTCATTCATAACTAATATACCTGTAAAAGACTTTGAAGAGGAAGCCCAAGCAAAGTTCAACCACCAGACAAGTGAAACTTTCTGCTTCAAGAAATTCTGCAGGGCAGTTGTGCACAATCTGTTGAAAGAAAATGAAACTCAACACAGCATATATAACAGAGTATATCCAAAACTTTATGACTTATGCTATTAATTTGTCAGATATTGAACTAAAATTCAACGTTTCTTATGTAAAATTTCATGAAGGTAATTAAAGAAAGGGGCTTGCAGAAGTATCAGATGTCAGATACACAAAGGACTACAGGAACAACTAAGAACAGCAAGTTTAAACAAAAAAATCACTACTAGTAAACAGGATTTTTGCATTGCTATAATGTGAAGGCAAAGAGATTTAAACCAGGACAATTGACCACTGAAGTCTCAAGCAAAAGTGATGGATGTCAACAGCTTGCATAATATGCTTACAAGCTCATGGCACTTCAGTAAAAGCTTCTATTCAACAAGACTCAGAGAGAGGAAGAAAACTGAACTGCTCTGATGAATGTGCTTAAGGATTTTACCTGCGACAGGACAGATATAGCCAGGCTGTTCCATGAACTATCCATGTAGATAGAATATGAGAAAACCTGCAGCATTAGGTTTCAAAAAATTTATAAGTACTGATGAAAAGTAGCCTGTATGGTACTCAGGTCATTAACTCATAATTAAAATAAAAGTGTGCTTTATGGGCAAATGAAAGCAGAACCAATTTAAATTCGCAAGAGAAAAACAAAATGAAGCTATTATTTCAGTTTATATGAAATTTTCCAGACTGTTATGCCGAGAAGGTTTTACACCGACATTGACATAAAGATCCAGACTCCTGTGTGAGTAACCCCATTATATTCCAATAAATGCCCCCATGAGGGTTAACAAAAGATAAACTAAAGAAACCAAACAAACAACTAAACAGTAAAAAGAAATGTAAGGGGAAAAAATTATTAACAAACAGGAAATAAGTAGGGGTTAAAACGAAAGGTAAATCACCACCTGCAGCAATTCTTCGCAAATATTTGCAGTAAGGAAACCTTCTGAGAAAAACATTTCAGTTGAGAGAAACTGGAATACTGGCAATACAACATCATAAAACTTCAAGCCTGAAGGTGTTAATTCTTCAGATGATGAATCTCCACCATGTTTTTCTTTAGCAGAAGCTAATGGTATAATTTGTCTTGAAAGCGCTGGGTGTTGTCCCTGAAATAGTACAAGCAAAGCAAAGCCCCAAAGAAACTGATATTCTTCAAGTTCCAGTCTAACCATACTATATCCAGATATTAAGCTCTTTCTTGATACATTTTCAATGGATGTTTTTGAATATTCATTCACACCAACATTTGCAGGAACAGCATCCAGTGCGAGTGCTTGCAAAATAACCGGCCAAGCCTCTTCTAAACAAGGCTGCAACTTTGATGAGACCAAAGGTGACTGAATTCCATCAAGGAATGAATTCCACTGTCAAATGTGAACAACCAATAATGAGAAGGTGGTGATTAAATTTGATCTATGCTCATAAACTATCTGCCCATGTTAGCAAACAAGGGACCAAACAAACAGGTTCCAAAATGATTTAGCTTACATTTCCCTTGAGATTCAAGCACAAGCAGACATAACTGTAGTCCTTCAGAAGCCAGATCCAGTACTTCCCTAGAATGCTAGAACTCCTTGAAAACAATGGTAACAATGCTTGATACTCATCTGGCACCCCATCATGGTGTCTCCTCAAGGAAGCATATGTATAACACTTGAGAGAGGCATGAGCAGCCAAAAGTCTAATCTTGATCTATTTTTATATTCGTGTTAGTACAAGCCTTTCAATCTTCATAAACACCTTCACCATTGATAGGTAAACAGAAGGAAAAGAAAAGGATCCTTTGCTCCCTTCATGAGAGCATGAAAATTATGCAACTAACGTACCTTACTTGAGACCCATTCAGCTAATGATGGATAGTATAAGTCCTTGAACTCATCCAATGGGCGTGAAATTAATGAAAAAATGCGCTTAACTGCAGCTTGATCACCACTAATTATTCCACTTGTCATAACCTGACATTTTCAAGCCATTTACATAGACCATTTTCAGGATGCAAGCACTGTGTGTGAGTGGGAGTCTGAGTGTCAGCGTGTGTGTGTGTGTGTGTGTTTGTGCATGTAGATTTAGATGTATGTAGTCTGACCTTAGTTGCCAACTGTAGACCAGCCTCCAAAAGAATAGGGCCAGAAGATGTGTCTAGTGCAGTGCGAACAGCTGATATTAATTGTGCCTAAATTTCAAAGGCTTTCATTAATAAAAAAATTACCATCAATAAGTCATTTGAGAATATACATCATAACAACCATCCAAGCATATTGGTATTTAGCATCATCTATCTAGACTAGAGAAAAAGGAATACTTCACACATATCCTCAGCGTACCTCATATTGTTCTAGTAGGAGGTGTCCTGGAAGGTCAGGGTCAGGAGTCATTTCAAACTGCATAAACAAGTTAAACAACAGAAACAAATTAAACTTGCCAATAATCAACTTACAACAGCAAACAAGAACCACTTAGGATATCAAGCAGAGAACAAGATTAAAGAAGTAAAGCTTCTTTTTTTCTTTTTTGGCCAAAAAGAAGTAAAGCTTCAGTATGAAGATTCATTGATGAAACTATTATAGGCAGAAGAAGTTGCAAGTGGAGTGGGTTATGGTACTCACTGTTTGAAAAATAAGAACATAAAACAATATTAACAAAGTTCAAAATGTGCATCTTAAGCACCTTATGAAGATTTGTTAACCCATGCCAAAAAGAGCATTGAATAAACACTATAAACAGAAAAGAAAAGAAAAGAAAAGAAAAAAAAAAGTGATATGAAAAAAATTATAGAACTACCATTTCTCAAGCAGATTTACCTTGTCTATAATGGAACTTAGAAGTCCAACACCAATTGGCTGCATATTTTCAAACTGAATTGTGCTAATCTAGCAAAGTAACAGATTGACAGATGTCAGCTTTGGGGGGGAAAACGCATGTTTTCAGGTACTAACTTGGAGGTGTAGGACATTTTATTTAGACCTGATAAGCAACTGATATTAGCTCTTGCACATGTAGGACTAGCCAATCATTGGACTGTTCATCAGTAGCTTTTCTCCTTGCCAAAGAGAGATCAAAATGAGCAGGATTCTTTCCCACAGCTTCTGGTAGATGGCTCAAACACCTAGAATCCAGTAAGAAAAGGTAAGATATACTCATGCATTCAGGTTTTGTCTTGCTTTCTTTTTTTCCTTGTTCATTTTTCTTTTAAAACAATTTTGTCCCTCATTCAGTCTCTTATTGCCCCATTTAGTTCAATTTAGAAAACATCAAATCATATAGGTTCTATGGGGAAGAAAAAAAACCTAAGAGGAAGGGGTTTGACTGAAATTTTATGTCAAAATTGCAAGCTTAAGTCCAGCAAGGATAAGTATAAAATAAATAGTAGAGAGGCTTCAATAACTTCCTTTCAGGGTGTACATACTTCAAAACTCAAAAGTTCTGTGCCTAGACACAGCATCTGAAACATGTTGATGAAACTATTGTACAATAACAAGATGCAGTACTTGGATTAACAACACCATGATTGGAAAAAATGATTAAAAGAAGTATAGAAGTGAGGACAGAATCGCATACTCAGCAGCAAAAACTCTGGTTCGGTATCTGAGGTGCTGATTTCTATTATAGTTAACAGTCAAAGCTTCAAATGCATGACCTTGACTTGATGCACTTTTGGAGCTAGAAACCATGTTTTCATCATCATCCCCAAAATTTTTTCCTAAGTCAATATCTGGGCCACTAACAGAATCATTTTCTGAATTGATACTAATCTGAGCATTTGTTCTTGTTGACATTGCAAGAACCTGCGAAAAAGTTGAGATGATTAATTCCTTACCACTTGGATGTACAACTTTTAAAGAAGGGAAGAAATGAAATGTAAATGGGAAGGGTAGGAGTAAATTCTCCATATCATAAACAAGAAGAAGACTGTATACACCATCCCCAGAATGGAATGTGTGTGCAAGGACCTATACCAACATAGAATTTTTTTTTTCCCCCTTTTCTTCTTTCAATTGAAGGTTAGATAGTTAATTAAAAACCACAATTTTTTACATTAGTTCTAAATGCCACAAATGGGAAAGGTGAACAAAGGAAAACAGCATTGATCATAACAGGAGGAAAACAGTCTCCTATCAGGAAATGCTGCAATGTCAAATGTCATTCAAGTATTGAGCTAACATACAAAGTATTCTGCATGCCATATGGTGATACATAGAGCAAACATAAATGGGCAACAGTATATCTCCAAGAGCAAATAACTGACCATGTTACGGCATATTGATATCCAACGAGAAGGGTGTGAAGGGCATGATACATAGAGCAATCGCATGACTGTACCACGTACCAGATTCCCTATCCTACAACAACAGAAGCAACTCTAGGCTTAGGCACTGAACAAAAAAAATAATGTACAACCAGTAAAGAAGTGATCATCAGTTCCTGACACCCAACCTTGGCCAACACACCCATACCACTCATATACAATATAAAAATCTATCTTCTAGTTCAGCAAATTTGGTTGAAATAGCATACCTAGACACATAAGCACACACTATAAAAATCAATCTTCTAGTATAGCAAGGGGCTAAAATTTTCAAACAACATTGTCTATAGAACACTATGATTAATGATAAATGAACGGCTCTGCAGGGGTTAAGGGAAAGGAGGAAATATAAGGGTCTTTTTGAATGGATAAGGGAAACCTAAGGCCACAGCAGCACTCAAATTTTTCCACCAATTTTGTACCTGTTCCTCTCCTTTTCCATACTTCCTTACTCTTCTGTTCACTACTTACAGAGAGAAACTAGTAAATTGCATATTCATGGGTTATACAAGCTCATACTGCAAAAAATAACCTAGTTTATACTGTTGTTTAATGCTAAATAAATGTAAAGTAAATCGACAATGGCACAGCACACTGACAATTCCAAGTTCTAACAGAATGGAATACAAATATCTGGCAGTGCTCAGGCTCCACCAATCAGGAAAACCAAACATCAGAACTGATTAGGAAGGCATGCAGTACAGTATCTGGGACATACTCTGAATCAGTTTCGTCGTCCAGCATCTGAAATAGATTATCTTCTATTTGCTCATCAATAATGGAAACCTATAAAGAATACCATTATCACAAGAATCTGAAGACTTGGATTCAGTGTTAGGAAACTGAAAAAGAGATGTATGAGAGACAGTACTACTCACTGGGTCCTTCTCAATTAGGTGTCGTAGAGTGGAGATAGCAAGATGCCTTAAAGTTGGCTGTTCAAAGAAAACCATCTTTTAATAAGGGAGATAATGCAGAAGTACATTATTTCCTTGTGACATACCAAAGTTAAGAGGAAATAACCTGTCTCGATGAAAGAGTCAGGAGAACAGTTTGCACATGGGTATGCACTGAAGCAGTTTGTGAAGCAAAAAGAACAAGTTGTTGGGTAAAGCGGACGCTCCTACAGGTTGATAGGTTATTAATCATTACCTACTAAGCAACACTGAAACTAGACTTTAGAATTATTTCGACTAAACTCAAACAATGTTTTCAGACAAAGTGTAAATGAAAGAACCAATAAACAGAATCAATCCAACATACTCAAGCAGTGTGGCTGTTTCTTGTGAGGAACTAATCTCAGCAACAACAGACTGAACAAAAAGAATCATCATACACAATCAGTTTTCTCTCAAAAAAGGAAAAAAGTAGTTCATGATAACTTTATACCATATGAAAACCAGTATAACAAATTTAGTCCTAAAGAAAGGAAGTACATAGATAACAATACCTTGCAGCGTGAAAAGAAAATGCTGCCTGGGGCAAGATCAGGACCTAGCACAGCAACAATAGCATTTATAAGGCGTCCTACACCTTGCTGGAGGTCAACTTGTCCATTCTCTTCAGACAATAGAATCTCTAAAGCGAGGCCAAGTGTTGCCTTCATGTAAAGAGGGAAAAGAGGAGGAAGGTAAAGTGTGGGAAAACCTAAAGATTAAATCCTCAATCAAGCATTTCATTTCCTCTAACAAATTGCTACAAAAATTATCTAAGCTTCTAAACAGTATAAATAATTGAATCATAAAAACACCAATACACCATAATATCCATCCATAATAATTGTTAAACTATAAAAACTGGTCATGCATACTTCAAAATATCAAATGAGAAAATATCCTCTTATGCAGCACTGGCTATGCAAACTTTTTTCCTAATGTAACAAATTCTACAAATAACAAATTTTACTTATGATATACTGTAATAGCTCCCAGATGTTAAAGTCAAAGAAATTCTGCAGCATTAAAAAATTTCTGAGAAACTATTAAAGATTTTTAAGTCTCTTGTGCCTTCCCACGCATATTCCATAGAAAAGACATCATCAACCAGACTCAAGTCAATGAAGCACCCAAACTGCATTAAGTTTGATGATAAACCTTACCTGGACATGAGATACAAAGGACAAGCCAGCAGCTTCAATGGTCAAAAGAAGTCCATGCAAAGACCAAATCTGTAAGCCAGGGATTGCACTTTTAGCCAGCAAAGAGATAGAGCTGACAGTTGCAGGCACTAGAGTTGACAATGCCATCCCTCCTGCACTGCAAAAAAATGAAAAAAATAAAGGGATTAATGAATCACTTAAAGTTTATATAGTATTTAGATAGCATTAAAATTCAGTACAGAAACAGCAGTGAGACATAAGCAGTCATTCTCTTTGTTTTCAACAGCTTGCATTTACTACAATAATATGCTTCAAGGAAATAAAAATGCTACAATCAAAAAATCAGGGAACCTCTTAAAAGAAGAAATAAAGACGCATAATTAAATAATACAACCCTACCACAATTAACAATTCTTTCCATTTCAATCAATCAGTTAATAAAAAAGATCACAATCTAACTTTTGTTGAGTAGACCTTAATTCAATTTACAGTATAAAGACTTTGAATCTTGTTTTAAACATCTATTATGCACAACAGCTAATGCCCAAGCTTTCACATGACACAATATATCACATTTCCTTAATGCCCCAATGAAAGCCTTTCCAAAAAATTGAGGTTCCATTTAATTGGGCTAAATACTTGTCAATACTCTCAAACTAGACAGCACAATCCCTAGTTTCTTTTAAAACTTATTCTCAGAGACTACAATTGAAGTTACAAAAAAGCTTTATCTTGCATCTAAAGTCACTTAAAATGTAAATAATAATAATAATAATAATAACATTCCACTTTCATTTTTAACAAAACGACTCAAAAATAAAAACAGTCAATAAGAACTATATAACAATCAGCAAAATTGTACACATTGTACAAGAATAAAAGAGGACAAATCAAACTAAATTAACAAAATAAAAGATAAAAAGGGAAAGAAACAAGTTCCAACATTTCACCTGTGGTGAATGCACCCAAGGGCAAAAGCAATGGACCCAGCATAGTTAGAATCTGTTATAACATTTAGCTCACCAAGCAGCGTCCTAGTCTGCATATCACCATTAATAGTGTGTGCGTGAGTGAAATAGAGAGATAATTTGCAAACCATGGTGGTTTGAGATTATAAAATATTATTAGAACTTAGAGCTCACAAAGGTACCGCATAAAGCAATAATTCAGTATGTCGCTGTTTTCTTCAAGAAGAAATATAGGAGTATGTAATTTATAGATGAAAAATTCATTACCTGCAATGATATTTCATATACATATGACTCAACATCCAAAGAAGATTATCAAAAATCCAAAATATGAGCTGGTCATATTTTATGGGACTCAGCATTTTTTGAATTTGTTATATCATTTAGCACATTAAGCAGAATTCTAGACTGCATATGCTCACAGTTGTACATATAGAAATTTTGTTATACCATTCAAAGAGAGACTGAGGTTATATGTAGAAATTTCATTGACTGCAACAGAATTTTAATATTTGACTCAACATTGTAAGGATATTATCAGAAATCCTACATACAACTTGGTCATATCACCACAGTTAGTAACATTAAAATAATCCAGAGGTTTCACTCCAACACAGTGGCAGAAAAAAGAAACATCATACATTAGTGGAGAATATTCTTTCTTAAACACCTGCATTTTACCAGAAGAAAATGAATTGCAGAGGAAATAGTTTATATATATACAAGTATTTGCAACTGACCATTCTTGCTGTAAAGATATCATTTCCAAGGCGAGCTAAAAGACCAAGACCCTCAGATGATGCCCTACGTTGTGATGCACAAATGTCTCCCTCAGCTAGAATTCCCTGTCAAATCAATAGAACACAAAAAAAAAAAAAAGGTCAGGAACAATGAAGTTGAAGTGCATACCATGCTCAATAATGCATTAGCTACTTTTTCCTAATAAGAAATTTAGTACCTTAAAGATAGCCTGTGCTGAATTTAATATCTCTGGCTCTAAAGGTTGAGGACGCAAAGCAAGCAAAGCCTGAGGAAGAAAATGAAGTCACATCATAAAACTTGAAAGTTTTCCCCATGCACAATGAAGAATAAAGGCAAGCACCTTCAATCCAGCAAGTAACCCCACACATATATTGGTTATGCTAGTTGCATGCCATGATTGCTTTCTCCCAGCCTTTAGGCACTGCTCAATCATTCCAAGAAGTGACAACATCCCACTACGATCCTGTAATGTGAGAGTTCTCATTATGTTAAGAGATTTCAACATTCACATCAAATTTAAGACACCAAACAACATAGAAGCTTATCTCACCTGAGAAGCAAATAAAATTCCAAAACCAAGAAGCATTTGATTCACCAAGGTTTTCTTTATTGTCTCAGGCTTCAAAATCAAAGTCATGGATCAGCTTAGAGAAATTAACAAACTGAAATAAAACAATGGAAACGGAAAGACAGCAAGTCACAAACGTACATACGGAGAATATTTTGCTTATTAACAGGTACTAAATCATTGTTGGAGGAAATCAAAATTTTGAAGAAAGTAATTTACTGAAATTTAAGAAAAATCTTTACAGATAAGTGCAAAACAGTGATGATAACTGACCTCACTTCTAGAAACAAGGAATAGTCATAATGGATCCAATTATGTCATAAGGACAAATAGAAAGTTCATCTGGTTTTTAGTGAAATGATAATCAAACCAACAGTAAATACTAAATATAATCATTTACCTGAGGAAAACCTGAATATTCATTCTCCCATACACAAGGCATGAGACCATCTTTTCCACCTTGAAAAGCACGAAGTTCATCTTCAAACCAATCCCTGAAAAGACATGTAAAAAATACACTAGTGCTCTCTTTTAACTAAAGGAAATAGAATAAAAATCTAAACACATCTGAGGATGGTTAATGACATGTTGAAATTACCGTAAGGATATTAAGAAGCTTAAACAACAGGAGACAACTAAAATGAGGTGCAGCAAAGTTTCAAAAATGCAGAAATAACCACGCAATAATAAGTCACACACCTGCCAGGAATCCAAGGGCCCAAACATGCATCTCTTTTGTCTAATAGGAACCTCAAGCATGAGCTTTCCTCACATCCAGAAGCATCTCTTTGTTATAACACAACATGAATGAACAAACAGCCAAATCAATACCATTCGAAATTAAAATGAAACAAACGATAGAAGAAAGAGGGAGAAAAGGAAAAACAAAAAGAAGGGGGTAATGCAGGATAAGGGCAGCTGATCGTAACCTGTATGGAATTGTGCATAATTGAACAATCCGTGAATGGTCACTCTTGTATGCTGCAGAATCAGGCAGGGACTGATATGCTATTAAAGTTCTGATGATGAATACGTCAACAGCAGGCTTAATATTTTGAAGTTCTTTGGTAGACACCACTGAGATATACGACAATGCCCTGATTTGGAATATTTATTAGTAAGTTTGTAATATTACAACATAACATTTAAAGGTGAGAAGATAAACATTAGGCCATACCGACTAAGATAGTATATCACTGGTTGAAGTAAAATCCCAGCATTTGCAGAATTTGAAGAAACATAGCACCGTATGAATGATGTAAGTGCATCAACTGCAGCAGACCACACGCTGGAGGAGGCCAAAGGAAATATAAAAATGAATAATATATCAAGCCTTATTGCTAATAAACCAAACATTATTGCTAGAGAGTCAGGCTATTACATAATTTACATGGTAGTTTAAGCCCTATAATGCCACCAATTGGAAGATTGTGGCACCAAGGGATGTACAATATCATGGTAACAACTAAGAAGTATAGCGTAAGATAGAGTAACACACTCATGCATTGCATTACCTAATCTTAGATGTTAGATCTCCATTTTGCTTTGGTATATCTTCTGGGTGTCCACTAAAAATACCAGCCCACAAGGAAAGAATATCAAAGACCTGGTCCATGAGCTCCTGCATCCATCAAAAGCACCATCATCAGATACAAATAACGATAAAAACAAAAACTGTACAGAGATAACTGCATACCTCCTTTGGCATTGAAGATAGTAATGAAGATAAGAGCAACCACCCAGCTTCTTGTTCTACTGTTGCAGCAACAGGATTTCTAGTAGATTCCATCAACATTTTCTTTGAAACTTCAAGCACTGATCCAGGTAATCTAGGAACAATAACATGACAATTACTGCCTAATGCAACAAAGTACTATGATCTCAAAATCTCCACAAAGTTGAGGTCCTGACTGTGTTTCATGTTGCATAAGGTAGGCAGTTAATGCATTTCACACCATACCATACAAAGACCCAATTACAGCAAACAAAGATAAGAGCGCAAGTTCATAAAGAGAAAGTAACAGAAATGAATTGATCATATAAAAAAACTATGCCAATAAAGGGAATGAGAAATGAAGTATATGGGATATATTGGAACTTAAATCTCACAAGTTTTCTAAAAGCAATGAATATATAGTTTAATGATTTTACAAAAAAAAAAATGAAAAATGAAAAAAAGAAAGAAAAACAGTTTGAGAAATTAGTCCTACCAAAACAAATGTAACAGTGGTGATGCATTCATCAGTAAAGATGCACCATAACAAAATCAGGCCACTACTGACGCAAGTTTTTAAGAGTACAAAACTGTAATTTGATCCTCCTCTGATGTCATACAATCAAACTCATTCAATGGGACACTTAATTTTGTTGCAAGAAAAAAATTCATATCTAAAGGCCATAAGACTTGATACATGGGTTTAGATATTGAAATTCAAACGAAGAGTAACAAATACTTAGGCTAAAAAATATATAAACAATTGATTTTTTACTGCTTCCTTCAAAGAATAACTTGCTCAAGTATTTTGGAGATATTGGAAAGTAAACTTCAGATTAACAGCATTACCTAGCTGGATAACCAAGAGGTAGTTTTTGTGAAATGGACACCAAAGCAGCCAACACCGACGCTTGTCCATGTAAAGAATCCAGCTCAACTTTCACATTGCTTCCCTAAAGACAATACATTGAAACAAGAGAAGTGAATGAAATAAAAAATAGACGGAAGAATACATAACGAAAAAGTCATCAAAGAACAGTCCAAAGAGAGAAATCAGCATATTATAGTATACTTTATGTATACTACAAGCAATAAACAATTAATTGAAGTGACATCTCATAGCTTCTTACCAAAAAATTCTCCACACCAAAAGCTCTAATGCAAAGCATACAATGTATCCATAGATGAGAAAATATCCAACAAACATAAGATGCACAAAATTTCCATGTTGTTGACCCAAAAAAGTAAGATATTTAGTTTTGAGTACAAAAAAAAATTTAACCAAACAGAGGATAAAAAGAAACCAAATCAATTTGTCTCATGAAAATAAGGTTATAAACAGTATCTCATCATATTGGTAATCAAAGTCACATTAAATTTCAACATTAAAACGGGTAGCAGCCTGGAAAGATGCATTCAAGCCAACAAAACTAGTTTTACCTTTCCAAATGAAAGACCTTCCCTTAAAGCGTTTAGGATGGTCACACAAAAAGAAATCAGGCCACCAACACTGGTAGGATCAACCTCAGCCAAGGAGCGCAATGTCAAAGCAGCCTCAATTCGTACCTAGCCATAATTTATTTTAAAAAAAAAATTTGAAGGGAAAAAAATTCAGGTCCAGACATAGGCACCTTAAATCTTGGGAAAAAAATGATAGTCTTCAAATTTTAATGGTAAATTTGGTGCTCATGTCCAAGTCCCCAAAATGATACACCAGTCTCTCAATATATGTCACAAACTGTTCACTTTTGACCAAACAAGCAGTTGTCCAACATTGCCAGACACCTTGAATCAGGTATGAATACGAGTCATATGACTCTTGGATCTTTGAAATTAATGCTAAGAACTCCTACAAATTTTGGAGGTCCACATCAAATCCAATTTTAATAAGCAGTTTTAAACAAATCCAAAATAACCAGAAAAAGACTGTTTAATCTTTCTCCACCCCAGCCCTACAAATTTTGGAGAACCAATGTCAGACACATAACCATGTCAGAAACTTCATCCAAGTAACACAGGCCTCAATCACTATGCAAGTTTTATGCTCACTATCCAACATCATTTTCAGAACAGATAAACAGTCTTTTCAACAGGTTTGATAAGGTGCACAACATTAACAAGTCAGGAATCAGCATTTATAACTGTCTATGGATACAATCAATATTGAAATGAAAAACAAGATCTTACTAGCTGGGAAGAGTGAGATACTGCAGCAACAACTGTGTTATCAAACAGCTCCCTAAATTCATGTGGGACCTGTACATGGAAATATCAAGAATCATGTTGAAACAGAACATGCACATGAAGATGGATCTCGAATAGAGCTATGAAAAACCTAAAAAAATAAAATACCCATGCAGACACTTGATCCTAAGACTAAGTAACATGGATGAATAAATTAGCGTGGATAAAATTTTCATAAAATATTTTCTCAGGAAGAAATCTAGAGATCTGGACATCAAAGAATAGACTGTTCATAGAGAAAGATCGTGAAATGAGGCAAAAAGATTTTGAGCTTCACAAATAAATTTCAGTTTAGCAATCGCATCAGCTTTATATTTAGAGTTTCTAACCAAGTCGGTTGATTTTCAATTTTCCATGTGATTTTGGATGCATGACATTAACTTTATCAATGGTGGTTCTTGATTGTGTTAGTTTCAAAATTTTATAAACTTGATTACTCAACTAAAAAGTAAAGGGAAAATGACAAATTTTTCATGTGCATCACAGGACTAACAGTGCACTTATTCCTAAAGGAGTTCCACATCATACAAATGAACTATTCTAGTATTTTGAAGTTAAAGCACTGCATTGCGCATGGTCAAACTTCAAGGATGACTTACATTTCCACTCAAATTTCAAGGACAATTGATTAACTTTCATATATAAGAAAGTATTTAGGCTTTTTTAAATAAAGCATCTTGTAATAAATAAGCAAAAACTTCATGATAACCAATATGCAGATATCATGTTAAATTTTGGGAGGATTATATTACTGAGAAAAATTATTTTGAAAGGACAAGTGATCAACACCAACACCTCACCTCCCCTAGCGTTTTCAAAGTGTATGCCAATGTCCGTAAAGCTGCAATTTTCATTGAAGGAGTGGCATCTGGAGACTGGAGCTGTGAGTTTTAACAAAAAATAATACATTTCATCATGGATAACTGAGGCTGATATCAGAAGATTAAAACAACTAAACTTCATAAAGATTAGATAGCCAATATGAATTATTATAGCAAACCTGCTTCCCAAGGAAAACCAAAAAGCTTCTTTGAGAAGATTCCATCATTTGATCAGTTACTCCAACACGTAGAATGTAGAGAACACATGCCTTCAATAAACCAAGAAACATAATGGTCATTAACTCAGTTTTAAAGAAAACCTATATACTATATTGATTACAGATGTTCGAAATCAACTTGCAATACACAGGAGGACACCAAGAATTGGACCATCCTTTTCAATACCAGCAGATCTCCATAGGCTTCACTATGACATTTCTCAAATATCCCAAACATTTCTACAATATCCCAAACATTTCTACATGCATGAAAATGACATAGAGCAAGTTCTTAAGCCCTACAGTAAAGGAAAGAAGACATTTCACAGGCTGTTAGCAACAATTGGCAACAACCTATTCCCAAAACTCTTGTAAAACAATTTTAAAACAAGTTGGTATTAACTTTCTGTTCCAATAAAAACTGAAATCAAAAACAACAAAATATACACAATTACATATCAACATAAATCACTCAGTGTTATTAATAGGAAACAACAAGAAGCGTTCTTATGGAATCTTTAGAATGCAGGAAAAAGGGGTATATCATCTGGTCAATCTGCATTCCTCAATATCCTCAACTCTGCTCATATTCATATTCCATCAAAGATTTCAGGACAATAATAATAAGAGATCTCAGCACTAGACACATAATGCTTAACTATTAAGATAAGGAGTAAAAGGAGCAAAATATGATCTGAAACTTCTCTTAACTAAATACCAGGGCATGGGCATCAACAGAATTATCCCCATGAAGCATTTCCAGGACATTCAATGAGTAGTTTTGAAGCTCACTATCTGGAAGAAGATACTTAAGTCGAATAGCCTGCAATTAAGTTTAAATAACATACTATCAATGCAGATCATCATCATCCAAAAAACTTTTAAAAAGGGTCCCTCCCTTAAGTTGAAATTGATTTGACTTCCTATTCTTACTCAGATAGATTTCTATACTTTTATATTCAAATTTGCAATTAAAAATATAAATTAAGAGACCTTTAAAGACAGGAAAAAAAAGCAAAAAGACAAATGATAGAGCATATACCTGTAAAAAGAACACCCAAGATAGAGTTACACCAATTCGAATGTCCTTTGATCGAGCACCGCTTGCTGCACATCAGGTAATTTTTAAGAAATGCATCCTACCATTAAAGAACTATATTGTGCAGTTAAACAAAAAAGAAAAAAAAAAAGGATGGATACAGAGATTCCTTGAGAGGTAAGGCACTTTATATTAGGACTTTGCTACAGAATAAACAAAACACAGAAGGATTTCTTTGCAATTTTAGATAAACTGATAAAGTAGTGCTTCAGAACTGAGTGCATGAGCTTATGCCTGGAAGAAGACTGGCCTGATTGCAAGTAATATCAATGCATAAATGTTATCAAAAAAATTAAACATTTGTGAATACACATTTTTCACAGCAAACAGCAGGAAAGAGGTAGATGACAGATCACATGTTTTTGTTAAAAAAAATGAAGAATAAGACAAATGACACTTGTTTAAACTTGCAATGAGACTAACAAATGCACCTCTACTGAGATAAGGACAGGGAGAGCAAGAATGGTGTACACTATCTTCATAACAAGAAACAAAAAAGACAGATACTCTATAATTCCTACTGAAATTAAGCAGTGAACCTCCTCCTAGCATCCAGCAGCATTATAGAGACTACGCTATCACATTTGATTCCCAATTCTTAACAAAATCTCAAGCTTCAAAATTTCAAAAGGTGCTGCCTATGGAAACTAACCAATATTATAATCTTAACTCATGATTATCCATTCAGAAAGAAAAAAAAAAAATTGCAGTAAGAAACGGCGAGATACCAGTTTTTCAAAATTTGAAAAACCAAAGTCAGCCAAACAAGAATTAACCTTTCATGAAGGGAAAAGCTAGATGCCTCTGCAAACCACCTTCTAGTTTCTTTGCTGGAGGGAGAGGGCCTTTTCCCCTCGGTTGGACCTAGTAAGAAAAATAATTGTAAGATTGCACAAATCATAATCTGGAAAAACAGATGGCAAATTGAAATGTGAGTACCTGCGCCTCAGGATTCATTCCAAGAGCAATTAATGCACCCAGAGCTTCAGCAAAAGCATCTCGAACAGATGTTACTGGATCCTCAAGGGCCTGACAAATGCAGCACAAACACAGGTAAACCCACCTCTTAAAGGACCAGCAGCTGCAAGATTAGAAAAAAAACAAGAAAAAAAAAAAAAAGAAATGCTAGCGACAAGGAGAAGATGGCAAGGAAGTACCTGCCTTGACACAATAAGAGGCTAAACTGTCAAGTTCTCCAACTCCTAAACCTGGCCCTCCTATGTTGGCAAAAACCTTCAGACAACGTGCAGCAGCTATTCTAACAACAAATGATTTATCTCCAATGGCAAACCGTGTTATGAGACGGAATGCTTCATTATAAGCTGACGCAGCAGCACTTCCACCACATCCTTCCAAAGCATTCTGAAGCATGATCAGAGCTTCTTGTCTCACAAACTCCTGACATTGAAGATAGATATTCAAAGTCACACCAGAAAGATTCACTAAGTGACAGAAGATTTTTAAAGCGAACTCTTATTAGTGGCCAATTATCTGCCAGAAAGCTCTCCTCAATACATACGGACATACAAACATATACAGTTGCCTTACCAACTCGCCATCACCCTTGTGCAAGAAAAGAAAAAATAACCTTGGCCAAGTTAACACCAAAAGATCATATTTACCGAATCTAAAATCCAGATGAGAATTGAAAAGGACATCATATTAGATAGAGATGGAAACATTGCTGTTTCTGTTCCTTTCTCTGTAATTTTCACTTAGGCTTTTACAATAACCTTTTCTCACAAAATAAGAATACAAATAAATGCAGATGAAGTTGCATTTAAAACACATACCTCATTAAACCTTATGAGTTTTGTAGCAATAATAGTTGTTTCAAGCAAACCCGAAGTTATTCGCCTCCCAAAATGTTGATATAACTCTCCCAAGCATTGTGCAGCACCTAAATATTAAATAAGCACTAAAATAAATAGCAAATCCAAAACGCTACAAGAATCAGACTTTTTACCTAGTGAGCAAGAGAAATATGCTTTTGATCAGAAAATTTATCCCACAATCCTCTCCCCCCCACCCCCCCAAAGCACCCAAAAAGAAAAAGAAAAAGGGAGGTGATAGAAAATATTAATCAGGAGAACTAACTTACGAGTAACAGCAGCAATATCAAAATACACTTAATATTTAAAATTTCTAAGACATACCTGCCACATATGGCCATAAAAAAGAGAGCTTCCATGTTAACAAGGATAATACCCAAAAGTAAAAGTTATACATCAAACCCCAAAAATCTATA